ACTACTACTGCTACTACTACTGCTACTACTACTGCTACTACTACTACCACTACTACTACTACTACTGCTACTACTACTGCTACTACTACTACTACTACTACCACCATACAGACTACTACTATAAATGCTCTGAAGATTCTGCTCTGGAGGTTCAGCATCGCGGGCAGCGGAGTGGACCCCTGTCAGCTCCAGCAGGCGGGACGTCCCAAGTGGGGTTTGTGAGTAATGTAGGGGCCTCAATAATTGGAATAGGGTTTTGGGGGTTCCTTATTATGGTTATACTATAATATCCCTTCGAAACCTACTCCAATTATTGAGGCCCCTATATTAATCCTCAAGCTTCAATCGCGGTTCCTTTCTTCAGACTGTGTGGTACCGGTGCTAATGCCTTGCTCCCTGCAAGGATCACCATCCTCCCAAGTCTGCGAGTGAGCAGCATTCAGCCAGCGGTGGCAGCTGGCTCCTCAGAGATCAGTTCCCATGGCAAAGCATGGCAAAGCCTAGCTGCGAAAAGCTGCAGGTCGTCAACCTTGTCACGGAAACCTATGCTGGCTTGCATCTGGCTCAGCATAGCCTAGCCGGCCGGTACACTGAGCCTGACGAGCATGCAACAGACAACCGAGGGCAAGATATGCAAGAAGAACGTCGGAGATCGACGGGGTTCTTGTGGTGCCTGAGCTGCATCGGGAGTGCTGCACCTGCGCGGCAGCAGGACTCGGTCAGTCATCATCGAGAATTCGCTGCACCACTTGATAGATTCCTATCCCCAAACCGCAAAAGCCCGAACTCAAGGCTGTTCTGGATGGTGCTGTCCAGGCCGGCAAGTCTCGACTCTCCTTTCTGGTGTCATGTCCGCTGCCGGCTTTCATGGGAGCGTCCCTAACGAAGCCCACAGGTGAACATAACGATCGAGCCGGCAGCTGCTGGCATCTCAGTCGGAGCATCCCTGCCTCTTTTGGGGGCTTCGGGTGGATCTTGGAGCCCACGCCAGGTAGCCATTGCCATGCAGTCTGCTCCGTCTGTTTGCAGAGCCGGGGGCCCCGATGTGAGACAGACGCATGACATCGTTGTGATAATGAGCAGCCCGAGGTCACATCGATGGGACCATCTGCCAGATCCTACAGCATCCCATTGAGCTGGCTGTCCTTGACCATGGCTAGGCCAGCATTTCCTCTTTTTACCCAGGTCTTTCGTTGTTGGTGTTGGGTTTAGGGAGAGCCCCTTCGCAGATGTGGACCCATGAACAGCAGCCACGTCTTCCCCAGCCACAGCCGCAGATTGTGCTCCGTGACTTGGGTTCGCGCTTGACGGCACCCCTGCTGAGGCATGCACAGCCTCCGCGTCGAGGTCTCCCCGAATGGAGTGCAGTGGTATCTTGCACCGTGGGGGCCTTGGCTGTCCGGTGTGATGCCCAGAAATCTGGAGGCTTTTCGGCGTTCTCACCCGTGGCTTTCACTTCTATTCTACTCCCAGATTGTGTAATGTATTGCCTGATTAGCTGTTGTTTTCGCCTCAGACAAAACGCCCAGACTGTCCCTGAGTCTCGCAGGCGTCCGATCGCACTCTTTGAGCAGCCCCAATTCACCAGTATGGCGCTCCTTCCTCAGACTTCGGGCTGGCTGATACTGAGATGACCGATGTGCTGCTTCTTGCTCGAACTGGTTTATCACTGTCGCCACACCACGAATGCATAGGTTAAACCGTAAACCCACAATAAAAGACCCAAGCCCCAGTTGCCCGCAGACCTGATTCTACGCCGCTCAGACCTCTGGTGGCTTCCGTCTCCTCGCCGCGGTGGATCACCCTTCGTGGCGTCGGCTTTCCGCAAGCCTGGCATTGGTTTCGAACCGCCGGAAGTTCACGAATCGGAAATCAAGCCCGCAACCCAACATCCTAAGCTTTTTACAAGTTTTGAAAACCTGACCTAAGCCCAAAACCCCTAAGAGCGCTATCTTCGAAATCCTCCCGAAAAGTCGTGGCCCTGAGCTCGTTCCAGGAGATCCGTCGGACTGAAGATCACGGCACGGGGCTCATCATTCAGGGCGAAGCCGAGAACATAGAGAAGCACCTCCATCTGATCTGCTGCTTCAAAACAGCCGGTAGGGCTCCAGATGCCTAAATAGTAGGTTACCACATAAGGTATATAACAGTACTAGTATGTACCCAGCAACCTACTGTTTAGGTAGCTGAAGCCTCAAAACAGCCCTTCTCTTTTTGTGCCTCCTTTGGGGCCTTCCTGCCGCTGCCTCGGACTCAGGTCCAGATCGGGGACTTCTTCCGAGAGGCCTGGGATATCTAAGGACTCATATCCTCCCTTGGTTTCGTGTCGAGGGTTTGGAACGAAGGAGCTCAGTGAAGGATTTTCAGGGTTTGGAGTTGAGGTTTTGGTGGGCTAAGAGTGCAGCGTTCAGGGCGCCCTGAACTCTCAGCCCTGAGGTTCCATCAAACAGGCGCCGGACGAAGCTCATCTAGTCGTTCAGCTGGACGTGGTTTAGGGTTTAGGGTTTAGGGGTTTAGGGGTTTAGGGGTTTAGGGTTTAGGGTTTATGGTTTTGGGTGTACTATTGTTCGTTTTCTCGGTTCACTTGTGACGCTGGGAGCAGCACATCTGAGTGGATGCCTTCGCCTCTTGGCTTTTTCTCGTCTGACCCTACCTTTGAACGTACAATGGTTGGCATCGAAAACAGATCTAAGGTGCAACTTATTCCGCCATCCCCACTACATGCGCTTGTATCGTAGCTGTAACCATGCAAGCCACAGAAGCTGACTTCCTGTGTAGGCCCTGCGCGTCAACAGCACCACGTTGAGATTTCGCGGGGCCCCTATGGTCGTGGAAAGGAGCGCTTCAGTGCTTCGCTTCGATTGCCTCACTGATGTTTGAGCGGTTGTCCCACAGTGGGAGGAGGTGTGGGTGTGGCTTCAACTGTGTGTCATGGCTATAACTCCCTCAATCTGCAAGCTGGAGTTACAGCCGCCGAAAACACAGTGAACACGGCTTCTTTTGTTCCGCTTGAACCGCCATGCGTTTTGGCTGGAAAAACTCAAAATCTTTCAGGCTAAAGGGTTTAGGGCGGTGTCGCAACCCAGCTTGGCTTCGACGGGGTACGGCTGTCAGTATCCCCCCCCATCTACCCTCCCCACTCCCCCCAATAAAAAGAAGATGATTCCCCTAACGGAATCGACAGCTCTGCCTGCTCACGGCCTGAATGCGGCTCGCAAGCCCTTTTGAAGTTTCGGCTCATGGTTTTTGGTTCAGGCTTGAGGTTTGGTCCCTATAGGTGGTTTGCACCGGTTCCCGTTGCAGGGCTTTGGGTTTAGGGCTTGGGTATTTTAGGAATCAAGATTTGTTGTAGGGCCCTGTCCAAGCCTAAGCCCAAAGTTTGAACTCTGGATGCTGTGAGTTCGAAGCGTCGTATGCTGTTTCTTGTCGTTTGGATTCCGGGTCCAAGGTTCTGTTATTCAGGCTGTGTTGCTGACGTGCAGCGATTGCACTTCTACCAACTTGGTGAAGTTTAATGCCTCACGGTAATGCTCAGAATTTGTTGGATGTGTTGTTGTGCCATGTCTGCTTTTTGTTGGTCCCGGCGAAACTTGCTAGTCCCACTCTCAGCTTTAAACCCGCATGTAAAGGCCGCCATCATCATGACTATTGTCATCATCATGATGTCGCCACCATGATCATATCATCACACAAGCTTTGCAGAGAGCTTCGCAGAGTCTGTCCGCACAGAAGAGGCCTTTGGCTCCCAGGTTCCCCGACGTCTCCGACTGCGGTGAATGCCTCCATCTTCGTGTCCTTTGCCGGATCGCCTTCAAAAGACACGGGCTTCTCGCTGAGGCCCTGCGCGCTCATGAATGTTGTCTACTTGCAGCAGCTGCTTGTCCAACCAGAACCCCTGGAGTCTCCATCTGCAGGGCTAACTGAAAGAATCCGTCACGAACACTGATTTCGTGTTGCAGGTGTAGCAACGCCCTGACACAGGGCACGACAGCAGCAGCAACAACAACAACAGCAGCAACCGCAACAACAGCACCAGCAGCAGCAGCAGCAGCAGCAGCAGCAGCAGCAACAACAACTACAACCATTACTACTGCTACGGCGACGACGACGACGACGACGACTACTCGTACTGGGTATTGGTAGTATTGCTGCACTCGTGCTCTTCTTCTCCAGCTTCTGCTGCTCTTCCTCCTGCCCATGTTATTTCATGTGAAAGGCTCTTCGAGCCTCCCGTCATCCACAATGTGACGCCAATCGCCATCAGCGTGGGAGACCCGCGAGGTGCCGGAGCGAGGGGTCCGCGAAAGAGGGATCAATTGAATCAAGACTTGTGTCCAGAGACAGAAATATATAAAGACTGTACTAGTGACAGGGACGCAAGCAGTACTTGTTCAACTCATGCGTGGGCACAGCAGAAGTCTGTCGTATTTCCATACCTGTCAGGTTACTCAGCGCACGGCATAAACACTATCATTTACCGCATTCAAAATCAGTCCGAAAGTCCCAACATGCATTCGACAGGGAAGGTCTTGAAACACGACAAGTACTCGCTTGATAAGGACAACGCTGCCCGGTATTCAAGCAGCAACCTCATGGGTAGCCCCGATGGCAATGCTCATGGCAACGAAGTCAACTTGAAGGAGGGCATTTCGCAAGTTGCCCTGACATGGGGTAGTCATTGTTGCAGCTGTGGGTTGTAACGGCCTGCTAAAATTCAGTTACAGTTGAAGAATTGGTGATTGTATAGAGCATGCCAGTGAGCCGTTCCAGGTACAGATTCGCGGCGTCCGATCAATGTGTACGGCTCCAGCTTTCAGCCGACCGACGAGTGCATATTCCAGTTCGGCTGCCTTGATTACCTTCATAACGATTCGGAATGCCTGAACAAAATTCAGGCAGGGTATGGATTTAGACAATTCGATGAAATCACGTGCACTGGATTTGTCAAAGCCTCATGGAGTTTGCATGCAAGCATCTACCAGCACGATGGTAGCAAAATTACCTCCACAACCACCGACTTCAGGTAAGCATGAATCTACCTTGTTTGGAGGCTTCACCATGTCCCGGATGTCTGTCGTAGCAGCCTGTGGCAGTCTTGTTCATCTTACAGCCGGGCGATGAGCATGCACGGCAGTTTCATGTTCTTGGGCCCTGAAGCAATGCTTGGCGAGCCTCGAAATTAGATTCAGATGCACTTAAACATGGACGTCAGTAACCCCAAACCCCTAAACCCTGAACAGGGACGTCGGTAAGGTTGTGATCCTGGCTGCCCTCGGAATCGAACTTACTAGAAGCATGGTCTCGATTGTGTCTGGCATGAAATCTAGGCGCCTGACCCCGCAGGACCTGTTTACTGAAAATGGCTCGGCTTCCAACAGGCAATATCTAATCTACGGTATACATCTATACATAAATAAATAACGCTGTGTATATATATATATATATGGAGAGAGAGAGAGAGAGAGAAAGGGAGAGTAAGTGGTTTACATAAAGTCCATGTTGTACAAGGCTTTTTAAATACAGCGCAATGTATACTCTTTGTATACAGCCTTTTTGTTTTATCATCTGTCGCGCTAGCCTTTCGTCGCGAATCTGCGTGCCGTACTTAGCCCACACTTCGTCAGTTTTCCCGGCAACTTTGTTCTCGATAGAGTTGACGAAAGGGATTTTGCCGTGGCTGGTGCTGGACTAGCGTCGGAAATTTTGATTGATACTGCAACAAAGGAAACAGGAAAATAGCGGCAGGGAAGAATCTACAGAAACGACTTTGCTGCAATAAGGGATCTCCAACACGGACCGTGTGTGTTGTTGAGCTTGCAAACAGGTGTTCAAGTTTCCGTTTACACCCCTGGGAAGTCCATCCCAAAACCTGCATCCTATCAACCTGAGGCCTCACACATGATTACAATTAAATGGTTACTCTTACTTTGCGTAATTAGTACTTCTATTATTGTTATTATTATTGTTATTGTTACTATTATTATTATTATTGTTATTATTATTGTTCTTATTATTGTTATACCCTACACCGAGCCACGAAGTCATGAAACCGAACGACAAGGTCCATGCATGGACAGTTCTGAGTGGCAGGTCGGCGTCCATGGCGATCCCCCTGCGTGTCCCACTGACCAGCCACCACCCTGGCGGGTTGGGAATTTAGGGTTTAGGGTTTGGGGTTTAGGGTTAAGGATTTAGGGTTTAGGATTCAGGGTTTAGTTTGCAGGGTTCTTGGACTTTTTGAGTTGAGGCCTTTGCGATTCATGGTTGCTGTTCCGTCTTCGGAGATAGTGCTACGGAATTCACCGGGTTTTTATCGCTAATCTACAGTCCTAGGACATCGTGCCGTCTTGTTGAGGATGTTTGCCATGTAGCGCATGATGGGGCTCTGAGTTGGCACATGGGTCTGGGTTGGTTTGGAAAACCAATTTGGCAGAGGCAGTTTGAATGGATCTGTCTGGACATGGGGTCGTGCACTGGGTGATCTGACACGAGTCAAGAAAATCTGCTCATGGTCATACTGGTGACTTCTTGCATGCACTTTTCGAGATTTTAGTTTCCTTCACGACTACAGGAACTCCAATCGGAATTTAGTTTAGAAGAACCACGAAGTGCAGCCCAAGGCTACATCTCCGAGTCGCATGTCCAGTGCCGAGCTCCAGGCATCCGATCAGCTCTGGTCCATAAGGGTGGTTTGCCGCAAAGTGCGGATTGCATGAGACCCCAAGCCCTGAACCAGGTGTCGCGCTAGCAGATGCCGTCGTGCCCGAAAATCCGCCGGAAGAAGAGGACATGTGCGCCGCGTACGCGTGCGGCTGCCGCGCTTTGAGTGAAGCGCCTTGATCCTTGGCCGGCTGGTGTGGGCCAGGTCGCTGCAGGAGCAGATCAACACGCTAAGAAACATTGTGAATGCCATGAAGGCGGGCCTTCTCACGCAAGGCTCAGAGCTATCATCGTTGTTGTGCCATTCTGACCTCACCGCATCCCGAATCCGAGGTGCATGCCCTGCCCCTCTCTTCAGTTCCACTCCGAGTGTTGCAGCCCCCGACTACTTGCTGCTGAAACCTCTGTTGCGACTGTTGTGCAGGACTTGTCTTGGGAAGAAGAAAAATACTAGATAATAGCAAGATACTGAGACTATGTAAAATTACGAATACTATATAGCAGCAAGATACTAATACTATATAATATTACTAAGACTATAGAATCGCAAGATACTAATACTATATTATATAACCTTACGAATACTATACAATAACAAGAAACTAGAATATGACACACTGAACTCTGGACAGCTGTGATCCGTTTGTATGTTGAAGAAATGGGCTGAGGAGCCACCTGGGCTGAGGCCTACCACCCCAGACTCCTGAGCTTCAAATCATAACCGAAGGCTTACGTTTTAGGGTTTAGGGGCTTAGGGTTTAGTGTTTGGGGGCTTAGGGTTTAGGGGCTTAGGGTTTAGGGTTTGGGGGGCTTAGGGTTTAGGGGTTTAGGGTAGTTTAG